AAGTATTACTGGGTTTTTAAAAAAATTTCAGTAGTAGCACGGAGTCTGTTGATATATATAATCGGAAATCTCAATTGCAGCTGAACCGATATCGGTAATTATTTTCTTGTTTGGTTTATTATTGTTTGGACAAGGTTCTTATGTTAGTAAAGGCGATATTAAGTTCGAGGGATCAGTTAGTGTATTATAATGAGTTCTTTAAATGAACATTATTTCAAAGTTTTTGTTTTTCTAAACATTTCAACTTGTGTCAATGATGCGAGCGAGAGGAAGCGTGTCGCACTGACAATAATAAAGACTAATAGAGCTAAAATTATTGATTCCCAGCTACTACATAGTGTATACTAATAATCGTTAATTTTAGAATTATTATATAAAACCCCATGGCGCGGGCTATAAGGCAATTTCTACACAATTTTAACAGATTTACACACGGAATCATAGTATAAAATTAATATTAATTGTATTTTGTATACAATGTTACAAATCAATAAATTATATACAATCAGGTAATATAATGTATGATTATGATTGTTGAAGTTGTGTAGAGAATTGCTAGAAATAAATAATTGCGTCAGATATTGAAGGTTTGTGCTGTAAGGTTGTAATGAAGGTAGCTTGGTACGCAGCGTTACGCGCACCACACTGCGAAGTAGATAGAATATACAATTGAAATGTCACTTGACTTATTTACTTACGGTAACATAGCTTTTACACACGGCCTGATGATAAACAGTTACAAGTGTTTCACTGACCGTGGAGGGAATTTGAAACCTAATTTTTGTGATGAGTCAATAAAATTGATTAAAACAGTTTAGAACATCTGTAATATTACTTTAGTGAAACATGTTAACCTAAGCATGTTTAACTCCCGAGCGTACGGCGCGTTGCGTTCCGCAAAGAGCCATCAGACCACCACAGATGGGGCCCAATAGGGCCGATGCCGATTCGGAGTCGCGGAGAACCTAACGGGTAACCGGGGCTCCGGCTCGACGTGCAGGAGAAGGAACGGGGTTGTTTTTAGTCAGTAAGAGTCTGACACTCCCTCCCGCCTCACCCAGGCGGGAGCAGCAATTCGATGATTTTCCCCCCTTAAAAAAAGCATGTTTAACTACTACTTACGTAACTGTTACTAATTTCAAGGTGTGCTAGGGTTTCATAGTCCTGAGCAGTCATTTAACATTATAGTTTCGTATGTTTATACAAATACTCTTCCAAGTTTTATTAACCTTTTGAGCGCCAATGTCACATATACGCGACAAGCGAAAACTGTCCCTGGACGTCAACGACACAAATACATGACAGAAAAAGCGGAACCAGAAACACGAATTATTGGAATCCCTATTGTTGATACAATAGGGATTCCAATAATTCCTATTTCTTTCGTACAAATTTGCGTGGAATTTGTGGCTTGGTGTCGAAGGCAGGTTCATGTGTTTTTGCTCTGGCGTTCAAAAGGTTAATAAAACATACATGAATTACTGTTATTACAGCAAGTAAATAAGTCAACGTGATAATTTTTTACTCACAAATACTGAGCGCTTAAATAATGTTCTCGAATAATTTCACTGCCGTTCAATATTCGTGTTTGTGCGTATTTACTGCGTCGTACAATTCCATCCAGCGTAGTTTTATTTTTATCTATTATTATATTACTGTTAGCTATAATTTATATACAACTAAATATTATGATTGCCTCAATTTTGATCTGTTTTTAATGAAGCTGCACCATTTAATATTGTAATTATTTTTCAATGTTTGTATTGTACCTGCGACGAAATGTCTCCAACTGTAATGTTGTAAATTATAATTAAAATGAATAATTAATATTTGTATTATTGCATGTTAGTGGTGCACTTTTATATTTATTTATAATTACAATGTATGTATGTTCGTATTTTTATAATGATTGTAATCGGCAAAGATGTATGAGTCATTCCATGTTTCTATTTAAATTCCATTTTTTAATTTTAATTATTAATAAGACTGAATAATATCGAATATTTTTTTAAATCTCAATGAACGTAAAGTATTTATTTTCCGAGTGATTCAAGGTGTCGCTTCAATGAAATTAAGTAATTATTTCATTAATTGTATTAATTTTAGCGATGTAATTATGTTAATTTTAAGTATATTTTTGTTTAGGCTTAGTTTAAATGCGCTCAATTTTCCACGAATAAATTTTAATGGCTTTAATTTATCTTGTTTTTCTTTATTTAAATATCCAACTTACATTAATTGCGCCTTCGGGAATTCGGAGTGATGTTACAAGTTTATATAATAGATATCGTCAATTTCGCTATATCTAGACATATAATAAAATCGTAGAAAAGTCAAAGCTGTACATTGAATATTTTTTGAAAAGAATACTTGGGGCGTGATCTACAGTCGATACCGAAGTCCGGGATGATCTCAAAAGTACTCCATCATGCAGTGCTGGATTTATAAATAGGCCGCGGCCTAGGGGGCGGCAGATTTCAGAGGACGGTCACTCGATTTCAGATAGTAAAAGTCATTGGATTATGTTATGTTAGTCCTATAGAAACTCATTCCTATCGAAACCTAGTGCGTGAGAGATGAGAGCAATGGGGCGGCAACTGCGGCGAGCAGACGGCAGTGGCTCAACGCGAACGTACCAAACCCCGCTGCCCGCCAGCACTCTCCGACCCGTCCGCGGTGTTCCTTAACTGCCCAACAATTTTTAACTGGCAGAACATTTTATGAAAAAGGGTTGTTGCTGTAATAAAAGTATTGGCTTCTATTTTTTTTTATTACTTATATACTATAGATTTAGGGGTTTTAGGTCACAATACGACCACGCCAGCCCCATCAAAAACTAATTCAGGATTTAAACGCTATTCCTTATATGCTATTTTGTAAAGTAAAATAGCTTAAAATAGTAATATTGGCTCCTAGAGGTCTCGCTTTTAGGGGAAGTAATGGAAAATTTGGTGACCAGCACAGTGGAAATTACATTATGCTTTTAGAATTAATTGTAGTGTTTGACCCGTTACTTAGCAAACACATTGGAAACATGCAAACCAGGGATCAGGAACAACTAATAAAGTTGGTACTTTTCTTTTATTGCGGATTCTACACCGGATGCAGAACATGTAGATCACTTGTGATTACATATTTTTTAGATAATGGAGAACCATATGAGAGATTCCTAAATTTATAATAAAATATATAAATAGGACACGAAGCTCAAGAAATTTTTGATTTTACTATAAAGCTGGACAAGTAAAAAATTAATCTCGAATATTGCCGTCGTCAGTCTTATGACGATGTGTCTAACATGTCAGGGATTTACAATGGTTTACAAGCCAAAATTCAAAAACAAGCACCATTTGCTGTTTGTTCCTTGTGCAGCTCATTCATTGAATTTAGTGGGGCCTCGACTGCTAAGTCATGTGTAGACCTGTCACTTTTTTATGTTACTTGAAGAGGTATATACATTCTTCGTGAGGTCAACTGAATGATGGAAAAAATTAATAAATGAGATAAGATGAGGAAAAACACTCAAGAGAGTGAACCTCAGCTATTATAAACAACTACTAAAGATCCATAGAGATCAGATACCGTCAATACGTCATACAGATGAGCTCTGAATGAACACTCGCTAACCTTTCCAATAGAATTCCAAAATACAACCATGAATGCAGTTTCAAGTTTTGCCAATTTGATGCGAATTCCCTTGGCCTCATTTCGCGGGATCGGTTTCTCTGTACTATCATTTTCAATCATTTTTAAAACCGTAATTACTTCATCTCAGGAATCTCTTAGACTTACACAGGCGTCTGCTCTTATCGGCCTACGAGTGAGGTTCACCCCCTTATGTGTTTTTCCTCATCTTATCTTCAACTTTTATATGTGTATGTGTTTGTTTGTGCGCGATCAGCTGAACCGATTTTGATGTGGTTTTCAGAAAACTGTTTGTTACACTTTGGAGAAGGTTTAAGTATAATTAATTAACTGACTTTAAGGAGACTCGATTGCCAAAGAAAAAAATACTGACTTTAAAAAAGACAGGGTAAGTCGGTATTTTTAACATAGTTTATAAAAGAACTGTGTCAAAATGAATGATTAAAATATAAGTACTTAGGTAATAAGAGAATTGAGTGAGTTTTAGTGTAGTTTTAGTAAAATAACATGAATAGGAGTTGCTACCACAAATAAAACAAATCAATTAATAATTAAGTTTTATTCAATACATTTCATCAACATAGACAATTCTTCCTTGATTCTATACCATGTCGAAACATCCGCCGCTCGCTGAAATAACAATCAGTTACATAAACTAGAACAAAACATATTTCTAGTGTGGGCTGTTCTCTTACACTCGGTGACACTCCCCGGTGGGGTTGCTATTAAATAAAATCAATTTCTCAATAATAAACGTACTATTACACAAAATAAAATATTTAATTAACCATAATAATTGTGCGAATAATCGTAATAATGACACTCAACACATAATTATACATTTTAAAATAAACATTCTAAATTAATATACTTTTTAAACTAATAAAATTCGTTTTTATCGATTAACTACAAACAAATGATTTAAACCATAATTATTGCTTCATAAATCTCCACAAGTATGATGTAACCAATGGAAGAACTACGAAATTAGAGAATATTTATATTTACATACACCACGCGCGACTTATTGGCAACATCACAAATTACTTGGTCGCAAATATTTTCCGTAAATCGCAAACATTCCGTACATTATTGAAAAATAACATACATTCTCCTTTAATTTGTGACGAGCCAAAGTCGCAGGGATAAAACTATAATACAATGATCGTGTAGAAATAATTTTAAAATGAAACTTCGCACCAAGATTACTGCAGCACTCGAAATTTATAAGTAATTCTCTTTAATCAATCAATCTTATGTTTTCAAGTTGAAAATTAAGGTAATACTTTTTATGGATTGATAAATCAATTCAATTTTGAACAATCATTACAACTGTTTATTTTTGATAGGACTTTTTTACTAATTAAATCAATAAAATATTCCTACAAACGAGACAATCAAATATTGATATAATGCGTCTCTCTATGATCCGGTGAACATAAATTTAGTTGTTTTGGTCCCAAACATGATTTATTTCTGACGCATTTGTGATCATTAAATTATAAACTATAATAAATTATAATTAAATACGTTTTGTTTGAAACACTCGCTAATAACCTGTGATGTACCTCACAGGAAAGTGCGAGTGCTACAATATTTACATTATATTAGTCGTCGAGTACTTCAAACAATAATAATATTTAGCTGCCCAACACAACGTTTTTATAAAACGGAATGAATTAAATGCATAGATACAAAGTCAGTGCTGTGAAATAAAGTTTTAAATGATATTACATACCAATCAAAATAGAATTTAAGTACAAACGATAATGAAAGATATAATTATTACATATACTTGTAAACTCCTACCAGTATACAAATTCATTCCACTTCTTAACTTCTTCCATTTACGTACCGATTTACTGTTGCTCGCAATGTAGGTAGCGCTGTATCTGGTCCTACAGGGAAACTCTTTTATTTATCTTACAAAATAACCTTACACGTTGATACTCTGAGTAAACGTAATTTATCTCATTCAGAAACTGTTGTGATTGAAAGTTTGAGCACGTAGTACTCATCTACGTTTGTCGCTGCAAATTACTCAGATACCGAACCCACACTCCGAGCACACACAAGATAGAGTACGTACATAATGACTATAATACAATATATAATTAATTATTGTAACACTTACATCGAAACACTGTAACACTAGGTTTGACACTACACATTGCTACTCCAAGCGGGTATAAAAAATATTCTATCGTCGAGTGTCTGGTACCCTAGTACACTACAACCTGCTCTCGTGTTCACTGCGGCGATATATTTGGGAAACATCACTCGATGTTGTTCAGAACATGTTGCGCTAATGTTGATCTCTGTGTGAATGATAACTCCTCACAATTTCTTATGTATTCGTGTACACAACTATTACTTGATTCGAGGGAACTCCTTCATGGTTCCGAGGATTTTATTTGTTCAGTAGTAATTCATTCAACACAGGTAAACAGTGAGTTGCCTCGCCTCACGTAATAGTTACCCAAATAACTATGAAATAAGTTAGTCTATCTACTTGTAATCAGTGAGCGGAATACTTAGCTAATATAAAACTGAGCTTTCGTACAGATAATTCCTTAGAATGCGGCAGTTACTTCAAATATCATGCGATAACCAAATAAGGATCTCCAACATAAATAAATAGAATATTGAAAAGAATTTTCTAATTTTATTAACTTAAATAGAAATAAAATGGAAGGAATGTAGAGTGAGCATTTAGATTACATACGGCCCATGATAGCTTACTGATAATAATTATAAACAATATAATTTCAAATAAACATAATACTTTAATAGCAAAAGTTCAAATATATTTCGGAAAGACAATTCCAGTCAGATAGTAAGGACATCACGTTTTATGTTTGCAAACTGAATGTGATATAAACCAAATATTGAGTGTGGACAGAAGAAAGCAAAAGATTAGACAGGACAGTGGCACTGTCGGGCTCGTGGTGTCGCAGTACTTGATATGCCACGGTCGCACCGTCACTACTGACGAGGAAACACTAACAAGGATATATAACTCACACTTATGTCGCAGCGACTCCGACATTATGTAGTAGTGAGCCCCTAGTACCGGCCTCTCTAAGCATACATTATAACATCAAGAAGTCAGCAAATGTTCAAAGAAACGTGTGTCGCTACCGACACAGATAATATCAGGCGATATACATTGATATGTACCCATGTACATGCGTGGGCCTCGCCAAATCCTTTATAATATCAAATTCGTATAAAAATTGTTTTATTTCACTTTTGCTTTAATTTCCGAAACCCACTTCGATAGGTACTTTCTAGTTTTGGAGCAATGGTATGCTAATAGCTTATTTTTGCGGTTAGCAAATATAATTTGATATATTTGTACCGCTGCCTCGTGGCACTATACGGTAGTTAGGTACTTTATTGTCAGATTAGATATTTGTTATTAATCTACTAATAAATTAGAGGAACTTTAGGGGTACCTAAGCGTTTGAACAAAGCTTATACACATGCAAAAATAATAGGACATTAAATTTAACTTTCAATGAGTATTTTGTTAGTAAACTCAAGGAAATCTTAACAATTTTCACAGAAGATGTTGTTTATTAACGTATAAAGAGGATCATTAAAAGAAGATTTAGTGTTTGTGTACCATTGCTCCAGTAGATAAGGTCGTGTAAGTCAACCATGCTGGCATGCCCCTGCCAGTGCCGTATATCATTGGAGGAAAGAGTTCTGGTTGGCGAAGGCAGGCCGCATCATGTTGTTCTGTCCGAGGGGGGCGAAGTTGTTGTTGAGGAGGTTGGTCTGCATCATGTAGCCTCCCATGGGGGGCATGCTGGGGGGCTGCTGGGCGGCGTGTGCCGGGGAGTTGGGGCTCGACTTCAGCTGGTTGATGGAGGGCGCCGGGCCCGCCTTGGGAGAGCGGGGCGCCAGCAGGTTGTCTACGTCGATGTTGATGGCGCCCGTGGTGTCGGCCCACGTGGCGCCCAGTTTACTGGCGCCCTTGCTGGCGGGGGCCGGGGCGGCGGCGGCAGGCTGGGGGGCGCCAGACATCGGCTGCAGGAGGCCGACTGGTGTCGGTTGTAAGCCTGTAGTTGGTATACATATTATGTTTCATGTTTTTATGAAGTCAATGTTTCGTGTGCGAGAAATTTGACATAATATGGTTCGTATGTATGTAGTCCCAGAGTATATACATTACAATTATGACGCATTAATTAGGATGTTAATTAATAACCGTTTTAATGTTCATGTTCTTACTAAACTACGGTGTATAATCTCTTAAATGTATGTTGGTATAGGTACGTCAGTTCTGAATAAAACAACAACGCTTAGTAATAATAATTATATTGACGGTGGGTATATACAGACACATAGTTCAGGAGTCGCTACAATACATCGCAATAACATCAAAAAGTAACACATAGTAACATTGGAATCAGACTGTGGCCAGGCCACCTACCATGTACATTCAGAATGACGAGTACACTTACTCTACTAGGTCCTATACACTAACATATCACTCGGCACTGTCTCCCAGCGTCTTCTCCATGAGTCCGAGCACTTGTCCCGCGAATATGGCGGCCTCGGACTGTGGACCGCCCAGTCTCATCGTCAGGTCCACGTTCCTCAGGCAGTCCACCAGCCACGACCTCAGCTCCATCATTACGTCGAAGAACTCCGCCTTCAGTATACTGGGCGGCACCGCTATCACCACGGAGGCTAGTAGCGACATGACGCTGGTCTGAATCTTGGGGTCCGGGCTGTATCTCATGTACAGCACTACCTTCACCACCTCCCAGCTGTACACGGACACTCGCGGACAGTTCTTCGACGCCAGCACCACGTTGCCCAGCACTGAGAGGAACTTTAACAGTAAGATATTGTCCACGTCCTGCTTCAGCGTGTGGTGGTTCAGGGTGAGCTGGTGGTGACCGAACCCGCCCAGTAAGGGGAAGAAAAAATAGTCTGACACTGCCGCGAATCGATTCTTCTTGGCTTTCGCGAAGGGGTGTGGCCGTATCGTGTGGAAGTACCTAGTTTTGTTGATCAGTCTTCGCCTGATTATCTCCTCGGGCGGTAAGTCTTCTTGCGGCTCGCATATTATCTCCGCCGCGGGCTCGGGTTTGTCCCTGTGCGAGTACACGTCAGCTATCCTATTGACAGCCTCGGACAGGACGTCCAGCATGAACAGTTTGGTGGCGATGGAGTACCGTCCGATGTCAGTGTGTATCTCGCGACACAGATGCTCGGCCGCCACCTCGGGCCGCTCGCATACGATGGCGACGCACGTCCTAAACTTTATATTATCGAAGTCATCTATCTGGTACTTTGGCTCGAGATGCACGAATAAATCTAATAATTCGATAACTACTTTAACGTCTTCGTCCCTGAGTTGTTTGTTGACGAGTTGCTCAGCGACCTGTAAGCTCCCTTCAAACAGTTCCACGTCAAGCGCGTCTACGATGAGCTCTATAAGGTCTCGCAGGTACTTGGGATGCTTCCTGGCGGCGGCGGGCACGTCGTTGCTCATGTCGTATGGCATGAGGTCGTCGTCAGAGTCCAGGTCTTCCTGCTTGCCATCGAGCGCATCCAGCTTCACAGATATGATAGTTTTAACAATCTCCTTCGTTTGCTCGGGCCCCTTGACCGCGCAGCTGACCAGTGTGTTGTGTTCCCTACAGTTCTCGTTGTCGGAGAACTTCCGCGCGATGAAGTCCAGATTCCGCTTGAGATGCAAGGGTCGGGGCACGTGGTCGTCGGGCCCGCGGCGGCGATGGTCGATGAGGCAGCGATGTGCTAGCTCCGTGAGGTTCTGGTGTATCTCCTTGCACGCGTCGCTCATCTCCTCGTACTCAAACTTCAGCTCGGCCTTCTTGTCAGTGTCCAGCTCCGCCATGATCCTGAGCAGGGTCTCTATGGTGGCCATGCCGACACAGCGGTACTCTGGGGACAGAACGTCGAGGTGCTTGCCCATGCCGCGGAGCAATATGTTTTTGAGCTCGGTAGTCTTCCACACGGACTTGGTCCACAGCGACATGGTGACCCGGTACCTGACGGCCAGTATGAGCAGCTGTGAGATGTAGATGTGCTCGGCCAGGTTACAGGTGTTGGCCACTCGTACGTCTGCCCAGACGGTACTGAGGCGCAGGACCAGGTCGTTCACATTGCTCTCCGAGTGCTTCGTGTACGACAGGTAGTACAGGAGGTTCTCCTGTATCGTCGTGTCCTTGTAATCCTTGGGCTTCACATAGAATGGGATCTTGTAACTGAGGATTTCCTTCCAGTCATTGCTGGTATCGAAGTTGTCCCCGATGACATTGTATATGATCTGTTGGTCCGCTTTGTAGTCAATGGGGCACCGCTTGAGTAGCACTACACACAGATACTCAATGGCCTGTCGCGACAGATGTCGCAGTATTGTCTGTATGAGCTTCCGCTTGACATATCTGTCAGGTCCCTGTGTCTCCGTCCAGCCCGCCAGTATGTCCACAAAGCTGGCGATGACGGGCGAGTTCCCGCCCATGTAGTAGTTGGTGATGATCTTGGACAGTAAGTGCGCGAGGCACTTGAGGTTATACTGCGCGCCCAGGTGGAAGCTACTGTCGGACATGAAGTCCATCACTCGGATCACGTGGAACATTAAGTAGTACGAGTAGTTCTCGTGGGAGAAACCCTTCGGGGTGTCAACCTCTAATCTGTTGGCGACCCGCTGGGGCAGCGTGGCCAGTATCTGTACGTAGTCGTCCCAGGCATTCTGCAGCCGGTAGTAGTCCGCCTCCTCGCAGGGCCGGCTGCAGTCTACCATGGCGATGAGGATGACGTCACTCTTGACGTAGGCGACGAGCAGGTCGGACAGCGCGTGCAGCGCGGCGCGGCGCGGCTCGGTGCGGAGGCGGGCCGCCAGGCCGGCCAGCGACTCGTGCGCCAGCTGGAAGCTGTCCTCCACGAGGTACAGCGCGGGGCAGGCGGCGGGCGGCGCGGCCC